CATATACACTGATCAGTCACAACATTAAAACCACCAAAAAGCTCTGATGCATAGTCATGGACTCCTCAAGATCCCTAAACTTGTCCTGTGGTACCTAGCTCCAAGACATTAGCAGCAAATCTTTTGTGTCCTGCAAGTTGCGAGGGGTGGGGGGCCTCCATGGATTGGATATATTGCTAAAGCGCATCCCACACATGTTCAATTGGATTAAGATCTGGGAAATTTGGAGTCACCTTGAACTCTTTGTCATGTTCCTCAAGCCATTCCTGAACAATTTTTGCAGTGTGGTAGGGTGCTGAAAGAGGCCACTGCAGTCAGGAACACTATTGCCATAAAGGGCTGTATATGGTCTGCAACAATCTCTAGGTAGGTGGTATGTGTCAAGTAACATCCATATGAATGACAGGACCTAAGGACCCAGCAAAACAATGCCCAGAGCATAACACCACTTCCGCCGGCATGCCTTCTTCCCATAGTGCATGCCCCTGCCATCTCTTCCCCAGGTAAATGATGCTCATGCACCCGGCCATCCACTTTATATAGATTTAGAAGACGTGATTCATCAGACCAGGCAACCTTCTTCCATTATTCCATGTTGCAGATCTGATGCTCACACCCCTTTTGAAGGTGCTTTTAAATGGTGGTCAGAGGTCATCATGGGAACTCTGACCGGTCTGCAAACTGTATTGCACTGTGTGTTCTGACACATGGTTTTTCAGCAATTTTAGCAACAATAACTCTTCTGTGTGGTCAGTCTAGATTCACCGGTTGTCCTTCCTTGAATCACTTTTGGTATAAATTCAAGAACTGACTGTTTACTTGGTGCTGAATATATCACACTAGTTTCACAGCCGCCATTGTAACAATATAATCAATGTTATTCACCTGTCAGTGGTTTTAATATTATGGCTGATCAGTGTATACTTTCCTTGATAATTGAAGTCACCATTTTGTTTCCATCTTTGTCTGCATACAAACTTAAAGGGATGCTAGAGAGCTCTAGTGGTTAGAGTCCCCCTGTAAGCTATCGGATTTACTCACAATTTTTATGACAGGGAATCGGGTGAGTTAGCATATAAGTAAGTACTCAATATTTATTCTTTAGCTGTATGCAAAGCCTTATCTGTTTTATTGATGGTGCTGTTTATCTGGTATCTTGCTTTCCACTGATGATTTCTAATCAGTTTCATTCTATGAGAAACCTGATAATATGCTGTTATTCTGCTCTCTCTGATACATTCACTCTTATCTACTGTCATGCTGTGTTCTGTGCAGTAAAACCTTTATTTAAAATTGTTTGTCGCTATAATTATTATGTCTGTTATTGTGTCTCATGTTAATCCATCACATGACTGAGTTCCATTTCAATGCTCTGTCATGTTGGCATTTATATGGATGGGAGGTTCTTTGGCTAACGTTAGTTTTGACTCCTTAATTGTGTATTTTATTTTGATTGCCAACGCTATGAGAATTTCAAAGTCTTATTTGCCTTCTTAACAATTTTTTTTTTTGAAAATCAGTTTTTATTGTGATATTTCGAGTTTCAGAAAAAATAGAGAAGAAGAGGAGCAGACAGACTCCCAAAAGGTGGTTCTGCATTACAACTTTTTACATAGATGTTCAGATATTATCTGCTGGTTAATATAGGTAACATTGCATTCATAGCATACACCAACAGCATAACAGTGTTGAATTTAAGACATTGAAGAGTGAGATTAAGATTTCCAGCAGCTGTGTATGCATCAGCTGTAGGCTGCTGTGGGAGGAGGGGGTTTCACCCTCATATATTTCACATATTTCAGAGTGTCCCTACTTAATGTAAGAGCAGTGGGTTCGGTGTCTACAGCATGATTGATTACCTGAGCCTCTATAGTGAGTGTTTAGGGCTGTGGGTACCATACTTGGATTTCCAGGCCATTGGGTCGTGGTGCACTTTTATTGTAGCCACGTTTCTCCCCCTCGCCCCGCTCACAGTCATGTGATCCAGGTGTGTCTATGTCTCACTCTAGTGCTATGACATGTTAGAGTCCCTGTCCCTGAGGGGTCAGGGATAAGAAAGTTGATATAAGTCAAGGTGCAGAAGGGGGGTAAATGTGAGGGAGGGTGCAGGTTAGAGGGAAGGGTGTGGGCACAAAGGAGTGTATTGCTGTGTAGGTAGTAGGTTGGTGTATATTGGGGCTGGGAGTGGGGTCACCCATCTGCGGTACCGCCCCAGCCCCCCTCACCTCTCTGACGTATGGCTTCCGCGGTGTCCCCATTGTTCCCCGTCCTGTCCCATATATAGAAACCATGGACACCAGCGGTTCGCATGTTTTTTGCTTGTACCTAACAAAGCAGGCTGGATGGCTTCTGCTGCTTGAATATCTTCCACTTGTTCCAGCCATTGTTCCCTGCTGGGTATTATGCTTTGCTTCCAGTATGCTGGTATTAGTGACCTAGCCGCGTTAAGGAGATGTCTAGCTATTGATTTCTTATATGTCGAAATTGGTGTTGAAGTGAGATGTAGCAAAGCTAGTTCGGCTGGGAGCTGTTGTGGTTCGCCAAAGACTTCTGACATTGTGTCCTGTATCACATACCAGAAAGGTGTGATTTAGGTGTAACTCCACCAGATATGTTTAATCAGTCCCTTCTTCCAGGTCGTATCTGCAGCAAAGGGGGGACGCATCTGGGAATATCCTATGGAGGAGGGTAGGAGTGCAGTACCAGTATGACAGACACTTGTACTTGGTCTCCTGGTGTCTGGAGCTGATGGAGCTCTTGTGCTTCAAGATGAGAACCTTGTCCCACTGTGCATCCATGAATGTTTTCCCTTGCTTTTTCTCCCAACTTCTTTTGAAGGTGGTTTTTGTGATTTTATCTCCTGTCAGTAGGTGTTGGTATAGGAGTGAGATAGTCTTCTCCAGCGAGGTGCCCTTCTCATATATATCTTCGAACCAAGTGAGGTTCCGGTACAACTGTGTTCTGTTGTGCATATGTCTATAGTAATGCCGTAATTGAGTGTGACGGAATTTAATGAGGGACGTCAGGGTCATCTCCCCCATTATATCTTGTATGCTCCTCATGTCTATACTACCATAGCATTCTGTATTGGGGTATAAGATCAGCCATCTATGTAGGCCCAGGGAATAGGTGGCAAGCCTCCGCCCAGGGAACTGTTATATTGTAGCGGTATCAATGGGCTCGGGACGGGGCATATATGTTGCGCTCCACGTAGGGATCTCCAAGTCCTGAGGGTATACGCAACAGGTGAGTTCACTTTTGTTCTGTCTAGAATCCCGGGCCTCCCCAACCAAACTTATGCATGTAACGACGCATCAGTCCCTCCCCAGTCTAAGTCCGGCCATTGCTGGACGTGCTGAGTGCCAGTCAATAATATATTGCAGGGTCGCAGCTTGGTGGTATTTTTTTAAAGTCTGGTAAGGCTAGACCCCCCACTGTCTAGGTAGGCAGAGCACTTTGTGTCTAAGGTGGGATCTTCCTCCTTTCCAGATGTAGCGGACCACTGCAGCCTGAGGTAGGTAGTGACAACAGCACTGCTTGGAATAGATGGTGCTGTACCTAGTTTCTCTCCCAGGGATAAAACCAGTTTGGTCTGGATGAATGAGCCCCGGTGGATGTGTCTGCATCCTAGTTGCCAGTATTTTTGTGAGGAGCTTAACATCTACATTTAAGAGTGATATTGGTATAACTGCCGCACGATTCTGGGTCTTTATCAGGTTTCACTATAACTGTAATAGAGGCAGCCAGGGATTCTTTGTGGAATTTCCCTCCATACGGTAGTTTATTGAGGACTTTTGTTAACCTTGGGATTAGCAGATGAGAAAACGTCTTATAGTAGGCGATAGAAAGATCATCCGGGCCTGGGGATTTTCCTGTCTTAGTGGCCTTAATCGCGGCTAGAATTTCTTCCTCTCCTAGTGGTGCATCCAATAGGTCTGTTGACTCATCTAGGTCTATATTTATTGAGATAACACTGAATAGCAGAGGAGTGTTCTGGCTCTGTGAGTCCGTTAGGGTCCCCTGTGGTATTGTATAGCTTGGAGTAAAACACATGGAATTCTTTTGCGATATCGTGTCGGAATGTAGAGACGTTCCCTAATGATAATCTAAGCCTGTGGATCTATGTGTGTGGTCACGGTACTCTGAGCATTCGGGCCAGGGCCTACTTAACAATTTAGGTCATGATGTACCAGTTAAAAATGTATTCATAGTAGATATCTATATATATATATATACCAATAATAATAATAATAATAAATTATTAAATGCCAGTGACAATAATAATAATAATGGTTGCATAATGGTTGCATCTAGTAATGGTGGAATGTTAAACTTGTATGTGTTGTGGAAAGCAACGTTTTAAAAGATAATATTGAATAAACACACATATACAACTGTTTGGTGTAAAGCAGTGGTCTTTATTAAAAGGAATATAAAACACCTGTAACTACAAGACTTTATTTATCAATTAACCGTTTACATACTAAAATAACTTGCAAATATCACCTGGCATTTAAAACCCAGGAAATAACCCAGTTAGAAAAAAAACAACTTCACTCCAATACTACTTATAATTAAATCATTTATATGGTCTTGTCGTTTTGTTTTACTTTTATGTGTTAAGCACTAGTAGTAATTTTCTAATCAAGTATAAAATTGTTAGTAATTTTCATAACTTTGTAAGATATACTCACAAATAAGAACTATTTTAGCACACTTAAGTACTACACGTACGTATAGGTACTATATTAAAATATATGGTAACGGGGGATGGCCTGTCAGATACAGATTGTATGATCCTTTTTAATGATTTAACCAATTGTGATTTGTGCGGCATTAAGGGCCTTGAAAGTCTCTACAAGAGGAAATTCTTGCACAACTATTCATTAAATACAAGCTATGCCTTCCTATATGTGGATACTGACTGGCAGGAGAACCAGACAAATTCCCTGTCTGGAGTTATTGGACATACCCATAAGCACATTTTAAACACCCACTCTCCCCCTTGGATCAGTGGGGGTTATTCTAGTCACCAATAGTCCGTGACATTTGTTTTCCTTGACTCTCAGCAGATATAAGCATGGACAAGGTTAAAACCTGTCTCCTAAGTTGACAGCCGACTTTAAGATGGGGAAGTTGAAAAGGTGTAGGAGGCTTCTGAAACCTCTTTATTGACTTTCCAGTGTGGTTTAGGTGAGAATGTACTTAGAGCAGAGAACTGGGAACACTAAATCCAGCCCCAACCTTTACTGCAAGACTCTGATGCTCGACTGACAGAAGACAGAAAGATCTTGAGACTAGGCTTGATAAGCAAAACTTACCAAGCAAGCCCTGGATGAATGTTGCCATTAGAAGACTCTACACAACAAGCAGGAAAGGATATGCCCAAATTACACCATTCTTGACACCAAGGGAATACATGCTCATCAACCACTGAACATCAAGACACAGCTTGGGTAAAGGGCACTGATCTGGGTTGGTGTCTTGTATACAACTTGCTCCATGGCAGCCTTGCCAAAACACCTTCACTTCTACAATGAATGGGCTGATATGCACTCCTTAATTGTGTATCAGCTAATTCTGATTTTGTGATCTGGTATTCTGATACAAGGCAGATTTGCTACTTTAATGGATGATGTCATTGCCATTTCCCATATTGCCTGGAAACTAAGTATTCCAAAGTTGTATTCTCTGCTATTTTATCTTAGCATGTATCTTATCTTTAACATATACGTTTTAGTATGAAGATGTGTTCTAAAGCCCCTTTATGTGATTTACTTATTCTGTTTACTAGACTGTTATTATTTTCCTTTTCTTATAAAACAGTTCTTTATAATTTGCTGAAAGTCTTTATTTTTGTACTTGTGCAACACTAAAAAAAACAAAATTGTAAAAACTAAATACATACTAATGTATAAAACACTTATCAACACTCATACACAAACACATACACACAAATTCAAAGACAAAAGCAAGTGGGAGATTTATTAAAGTGTCATAGATTTTTCTGCTTTTATTTTTGGGATATTTCCTGACAAGATTTATTTTTTCTGGGGTGTGTCTGATGTTTACATTTGCACCTCTTTTCTGTTCTGTTCTTTTCTGTCAGGCACATTCCATTTATTATTAATAATGCTTTGATTACATGGAAAAAAATATGTCCTAGATTTTTCCTTCTCTTCTGCCAGTTAATTTTTAGTGTAGGAAATGTTATCAGTGTACAAATAGATATGCCTTTGTTCTGGTACTATTCACAACTAAATTGGCCAACACCATCTTCTTTCCTCCTTCCTTTTGATGACACTTTCAGGTTTCTTTGGAAGACAAGAAAACATTTAAACATAATTTTATTGCAGACAGATACATGTAAAATGCAGACACACATATCAATGGACAAGGACACACACAAACACAATTACTGAGAAACACAGAATTGTATTAACACTGAAAACATGTATGAAGAGGAACACATATAAACACACAGATGCCCAGAAACATACATACATACATTTATAGAGATTTATATCATGTATATTCACTCATGCACACGTGGACACACTCATGAAAATAGTCACCCATACCCAGAAATGTTCTGTCAAGACAGAGAAGCATAGACACATAGACACATACATGTGCAGACAGATACATACATGTACAGAAACACATGCAAAATAAGGCATAGACTTACATACTGACCAACTCATGCACAAATTCAAGCACACAAATTTAGGCGCACTCCGCACAGGTATATAAACAGACAAGTATACAAACTTTTGCACAGACATTATGTACAAATTACAGAAACTCATGCACATAATCACGGCCCATTGTTTATACATATACTTCCCCATTAAAGATCACTCTATGTACCATTGCATCTTTGCAATATTTGCATCCTGACAATGCTCTGTCTCCTTGTTGATATTGGCTTATAACTGCAGTGATTTCTGCACTCCTGACTTTTACACATCAAAGGAAAAACATTACATATGTAAGATCAGTCCACAGTGGCGTCTCCGGCATTCATATTTAGGGGGGCACATGGGGGGCCAGGGAAAAAAGTAGGGGGTAATTATAAAACATGTGTGTGTATATAGTAGTGTAGATTGAATTAGCCATATTAGTCCAGAAGACAAGATGCCAAAATACCAGACTATTGCAGTATGCAATTATGCCTTTTTTATTGGACTAACATAATATTTCAAAGACTTTCGAGAGGAAAATTTTAAAGACTATGAGCACCAAAATAGCAACCACAGGATATGCTACTGCAACCTGATTTCAGGTTGAATCCCTACGAGGAAAGTTCAGAATCCCTACGAGGAAAGTTCAGTGTCTGCATGCAGAGGGAGGAGATACTGAATGTTTGGATGCATTTTAGACAGCCATGACCCAGGAAGGATCTCTAACAGCCATCTGAGGAGTGGCCAGTGAAGTTATCACTAGGCTGTAATGTAAACACTGCATTTTCTCTGAAAAGACTGTGTTTACAGCAAAAAGCCTGAAGGTAATGATTCTACTCACCAGAACAAATTCAATAAGCTGTAGTTGTTCTGGTGACTATAGTGTCCCTTTAAGATCTGCAGTGCACTCTCCAACTCCAAGGTCAGGTGTGGCCGCCTCTCACTGTTCACACCTAGATCCGCTTCCTCTAAGTCTCTACGGTTTGGCCATCTGACGTAACGCAGGCAGGCGCAGCTGAGTGTGTGAGGAGCACTGCAGTGCAACTAGACGAGCCAGCCACAACATATTGAACAAATAATTCAGGCAAAGAATGGACAGCTGCGAGGGGCGACGGAGGGTAAATTGGTACTCCCCCGGCTGTATGTTATACAACTTCAATTTCAATTGGGGGGCACAGCCTAATTGTGTGTGTGGGGGGGGGGAAATGGCCCGCTCTGACCCCCCATATACCCCCCTGTCTGTCCACCTTGTGCTTGTCAGGTGCATACTCTGCACATACAGTTATACAGGACATCTCTCCTATCCCCTAGGGAAAGGCAAATTGGGATAAGCTCAAACATCATAGACCAAAATGAGAGACTCCTGACCGGTGGAGCCTCTTTCTGGAGAAGGAGGAGTTTGTCACTCTCCTACAAGAATGTGGACAATTATTCCGAATGGCCCTGTATCGCATGGGAAAAAACGATCTGGGTGCATATGGAGTTATCTGGACAGCAAAATCCAGTAATTGTTCATGCTGTTTAACAGCCAAATGTTGCAATTCAGGCCCTTAATTGGTCTAAATTTGGTCCGGATTTTAGCAGTCTAAAGCAAAAACAAATTTGCCTGCTAGCTGTTAGTGCTAGTAGCTCAATTCAACAAACGATTCAAGTAGTTTCCCTAAATTCAACTGAAATGCAATTTAAAGGCTTCTTCAGTCTCAAAATGATTCAATCCCCTGAATAGAATCTCGCCTTTTCCTCCTCTCACTATGTGTCCTCTATGATGACTGACATGCGCAAAGGGCAGTGCTTATAACAATGAGCAACAGGGAGCCAAGTTTCAGGATAGTTCCAGGATTTGGCTAAATATTGTGATGTGGATTTCTACGTTTATTATTTTCTTCAGATCTCATAAAGACATATTTGTTTAATACAGGGATTAGGTAAATACTATATTAGAATTCCTGGAAAATTGCATTTCCCCTTTAAACTTCCTAAAACTGTATCACTTGTACAGGGAGATGGGATGCAGAGTGTTCTTGGCAATAATGCAAACTGTTATGGTTTAAAGTGACCTTGGAAATTGTATTTTATGTTGTCTGGCAAAATGTCAATTTTGTGTCACTATTCTGTACTGTACTTTATTTAACCCCTTAAGGACACATGACATGTGTGACATGTCATGATTACCTTTTATTCCAGAAGTTTGGTCCTTAAGGGGTTAAACAAAATACTGAAATGCAATATAATTAAAATGGATCTGTCATTATTTTTCTTCTTACAGATTTTTATCCTTACATTTGCTTAATCATTGGTCTTTATTTGGGTACCTACCAGGGCCGTCTTTAACGCGGGGCAAACGGGGCAGCTGCCCCGGGCCCAGTTTCTCTTGGGGGGCCCGAGGCACCTGCCCCGTGGGCCCCGCTGACCCCGGCGGGCAGTCTGGGTGGCCGGCCGGTCAGGCAGGAAGGCGGGCGCGCGAGGGAGCACTCAGTGCTTACTCTTCAGCTCCCTCGCGCACCGCTCTGATGCCGGAGCCGGAAGATGACGTCATCTTCCGGCGCCGGCATCCCTACGCGGCGCGCGAGAGAGCTGAAGAGGAAGCACTGAGTGCTCCCTCGCGCGCCCGCCTTCCTGCCTGACCGGCCGGCCACCCAGGAGCCCAGCAGCACCACTGGACCCCAGGGAATCCCCCCAGCACTCCAAAAGGTAAGGAGGCTGGGGGGATTACATTTAAAAAAAAATGTGTGTGTTAGTGTGTGTGTGTTTGTGTGTTAGTGTATGTGTGTGTTAGTGTGTGTGTTTGTGTGTTAGTGTATGTGTTTGTGTGTTAGTGTATGTGTGTGTTAGTGTTTGTGTGTTAGTGTATGTGTTTGTGTGTGTTTGTGTGTTAGTGTATGTGTGTGTTAGTGTTTGTGTGTTAGTGTATGTGTGTGTGTGTTTGTGTTAGTGTGTGTGTTTATGTGTGTTAGTGTGTGTGTTTGTGTGTTAGTGTGTGTGTGTTAATGTGTGTGTTTGTGTATATGTGTTAGTGTGTGTGTATGTGTGTGTATGTGTGTTAGTGTATGTGTGTATGTGTGTGTGTGTCAGCATGTCTGTGTGTGTGTCAGTATGTCTGTCTGTCTGTGTGTCAGTATATATGTGTGTGTATATCTGTGTGTGTCAGTATGTGTATGTGTCAGTATGTCTGTCAGTGCGTCAGTATGTCTGTTAGCGCATGTGTATGCATGTGTCAGTATATCTGTCTGTGTGCCAGTATGTCTGTGTGTGTGTGTGTCAGTATATCAGTCTGTGTGTGTCAGTGTTTCTCAGTGTATGTGGGTGTCAGTATTTCTGTCAGTGTATGTGTGTCAGTATGTTGATCAGTGTGTCTGTGTGTGTGTGTCAGTATGTCGGTATATGTGTCTGTGTGTCAGTATGTCTGTATATGTGCCTGTGTCAGTATGTCTGTCAGTACGTCTACCAGTGTATGTGTCTGTGTGTGTGTCAATATATGTACCTGTGTCAGTGTGTCTGTCAGTGTATGTGCCTGTTTATCTGTATGTAGTCAGTGTATGTATCTGTGTATCTGCTTGTGCGTCAGAGTGTGTACCTGTGCATCTGAGCCGCAACTTTAAATACAAATA